TTTTCTTCTTCGATTAATCCTCCTCCTGCTTCGTCCTTGTGAACCAGTTGAACGCAGCCACATCCTACCGCATCCGAGGCGCACGAAACCGAGCAAAACCATAGAGTTCCCCATGCGAGCGGCCTCAGGTCGCTACACACGGCGGGGCCATCGTGAAAGAGATGGCACCTGCCTGACTACATCCCGAATTGGACTCGGATGCTGCGGCCAAAAACAACCCTCAAACTGGGACCTGTACCCGCCTCCTCCTGCTCCTGCTTCATCCTCCTCCTTTTCTTCCTCCTTCTCCTTCTCCTCCTCCTCCGCCTCCTCCTCCTCCTCCTCCTCCTCCTCTTCCTCCTCCTCCTCCTCCCACTCCTCCGTCTCCCCCTCCTGGTCCTCGCTCTCCCTCCTCTCCCTCCTCTGCGTCACCCTGCCCTCCCTGCCCGCTCCTGCCCCTTCGCGGTTCCTTGTCTTCTCCCCGTCCTTTTCTCGCTCCTAAAGAAACCAAAGGAGGGAAAAACATTCATTCTTAGACCTCCGCACAGAACTACAAACATTTATGTGAATGCTGTTTTTGTTCGACTTCGAGCTCCCCTCCGTGACGTCCGTAGGCATCTCGTGCCAAACTGAACCCCTGTAGGAACAGCGGGTGTTCAGATCTGCAGAACTCGGGCCAGAAGATCGTTTTCAGCCTGCAGCATCAGCAGAATCTACAACATTTGGGTCAGAAGGTCTGTCTCAGCCTGCAAGCATCAGGAGGATTGTCATCAGCATCAACGTCAGCGTGGCCAGGGGTCTCCAGGTACCTATCCTCAACCTGCCCAGCGTTCCATCATCGAAGTGGCCTGCCGGGAATAAGCCGCATGCGGCTGTGTACATCGCGTTTTCCTTGAACGTGGTCATCGTGGCCATTGTGTGTCTTGCACTGTGGGAAAACAAAAAATACTGGTACCGCTACTCCCTGGACCTCTCCCGGGGTGCGTTCTGACCAGGATTTCGAGGCGAATCCAGCAGTGGCGAAGAGGGCCTCCCAGGAGGCCCCCAAAAAGGGAAAACGAGGGAAGGGTAGCGGTATGGGTACATTTTCCTCCTCCGAGCACTGGGCCAGTTCGGTGGCTTCCCGTCCAGGTGTCTGAGGGTTCACTGCTGGACTGGACTCTGAGAATATCTGAGAAACTACTGCAACGTGGGACAACGGCATTGGGAATCGTAAGCAGCACTAGACGCTCTCACCACACTTCCGATGGAGATTGTTCATGGTACTCTCTCTCTCTCTCTCTCTCCCTCATGGTTCTGCTGTGCTGATCTACGGCGTCTTCAGGTGTTGCCGCTGGCTGCACACGCTGAGAAAGGCGAACATCAAGGAACAAAACACGTCACAAGCATAAACTAGCGATGGTCCGCGCGGTGTTCTTGGATGGGCGTTTGACCCCCCTCCCTAGCGCGCGGGTCGCGCCAAGGGCGGCGCCGAAGGCGCCGCCAGGGGGGCCCGAGCGCCGATGCAAGAAATCCGCGCGGAGCGCCGCACGATTCCACATTGTCAAAACGCAGCAGTCAGGCTAATCCGTGGCGTGGAAATCCCGAGAACAATGCTTTGGCATGCTTCAAGGTCTTTCGAATCGTTGTATTCCAACGAGGCAGGTCCCTGAATAGGAATTCACCGATGCAGGCGCCTGTGAAGAGGGGGGAGCTTGGAGGCAGGGTTCATTCCTACATCGTTGATTACCTTGGGTTTACACTTGTCCTCCTCCTCCTCCTCCTCCTCCTCCTCCACCTTATCCTCCTCCTCATTCTCCTCCTACTCCCCCTCCTGCTCCCCTCTTCCTCCTCCTCATCCTCCTCTTTTTCTATTATTATTCGTCTTCTTCTTCTTCTTCTTCCTCCTCCTCCTCCTCCTCCT